CTTCATTCTTCTTTGCTCTGGACAAGGAGAGACCCATCATTGCATCTAGATGGCAGCTTGCTAGCTTTTAAGATCCCAGTTGCTACTTGCCAATTAATAAAAATATCTTAAGTTACTGTGATGATCACATGGTATTAGAGTACTAGAGGGTCTACAGTGCCTGTTGTGTGCATTGTCCAGGTCTAGTTGGTCCCTCATTCACACAGAAGCTGGCTTACCTTGCAGTGGGTCTGCCCTACTCTGGGTCTGGTGTGATCTGGCCTGCTTGTGGTTTGATGATGGCGCTGGTATGACCTGGCCCTGGTACGACTGTAGCCATGGCCATGTGTATGACCTGGCCCTTGTGTAATGGGCTCTCATGTGACTGTGGCTCTGGTGTGACCTGGCCCTAGTGTGAGTGTGGCCTTGGGCATGACTTGGCCTTGGTGTGACCTGGCCCTCGTAGACCATCATTGACATCAACAGAGCACTGCAAGGACTACTTTTGGATTAAAATAATGCTAACAGCATCCTTCAGGCACATGGGAAGGGAGACAGATACACAGGCTGTTTTTGGCCTGGTTCCGCTGTTGGGAAGAGGAAAAAGGATGAAGAGTCCTCTGGGTGGGCTTCTTTGTTCACTTTGTGTCTGTCTGCAAGGAAAGATAAAGAGACTGGGCCTCCAGTAATTTCTTCACTATCTAAAGAAGACGCTGTCACATGTGAAAGTTAGAGAAGAATGGAGGGACAAAGTAGTACCAGTACAAGCTCCTCTAAAATCGAAACCATGTTTGATTGCTAAGTGAATTGCTTGAAGTAGTTGTCTATGCTTTTACCTGTTCACATGATAGAATTTTGCAAGACCAATGACTTACTCATTGCAAGTACCTTTTCTCAACAACATAAAGAGGAGCTGTATACGTGGATTTGCTAGATGAAATGCATATGAATCAAATCGACTTCATCTGTGAAAAGAGGCAATGGAGAAGCTCACTATCATCAATCAGAACAAGGCCAGGAGTTGACTGTGATGATCACTGTCAATACTGCAACAGTTGCTCATGTGCAAGTTCAAGTTGAAGCTTAAGAAAATTAAAACAACTTTACAAGAGCCAAAATATGACCTTGATTATATTCCACCTGAATTTAGAGACCATCTGAAGAATAGATTTGACACATTTAACACCAATGACCGAAAACCAGTCAGATTGTGGGATGACATTAATAACATCAAACAAGGAGAAAGCAAATGGTCATTAACAAGACAGGAAAGGAGGAAAAGATTAAAAGGGATGTCAGAAGAGACTCTGAAAGTTGCTCTTGATTGGAGAATAGCTAAAGCAAATGGAAAAAATGATGAAATAAAAGAGCTGAACAGAAAGAAGATTTCAGAGAGGGGCTCAAGAAGACAAAAAAATATTACAATGAAATGTGCAAAGACCTGGAGTTAGAAAACCAAAAGGGAAGAATATGCTTGCCATTTCTCAAGATGAAAGAACTGAAGAAAAAATTCACACCTCGAGTTGTAATATTGGAGGATTTTATGGGCAAAATATTGAATGATGCAGGAAGCATCAAGAGAAGATGGAAGGAACACACAGAGTCACTGTACCAAAAAGAATTGGTCAGTGTTCAACTATTTCAGGAGGTAGTGTATGATCAAGAACCCAGTGGTACTGCAGGAAGAAGTCCAAGCTGCACTGAAGGAATTGGTGAAAAACAAAAGGCTCCAGGAATTGATGGAATACCAATTTATATGTTTCCACAAACAAATACAGTGCTGGAGGTGCTTACTCATTTATGCCAAAAAACTTGGAAGACAAGCTACCTGGCTAACTGACTGGAAGGGATCAATATTTGTGCCCATTTCAAAGAACAGTGATCCAACAGAATGTGGAAATTACCTAACAGTATCATTAGTATCACATGCAAGTAAAATCTTGTTGAAGATAATTTAAAAATGGTTGCAACAGTATATTGACAGGGAATTTCCAGAAATTCAAGCTGGATTCAGAAGAGGGTATGAAACTAGCGATATCATTGCTGACATCAGATGGATCTTAGCTGAAAGCAAAGAATACCAGAAAGATTTTACCTGTGTTTTATTGACTACATGAAGACATTTGACTGTGTGGATCATAACAAATTATGCATGACATTCCAAAGAATGGAAATTCCAGAACACTTACTCTGCTCATGAGGACCAAGAGGTTGTTGTCCAGGCACCACAAGGGGATACTACATGGTTTAAAATCAGGAAGGGTGTATGTCAGGGTTGTATTCTTTCACCATATTTATTCAATCTGTATGTTGAACAAATAATCTGAAAAGCTGGACTATATGAAGAAGAACACAACATCAGGATTGGAGGAAGAACCATTAACAACGTGTGATATGCAGATGACACAACCTTGCTTGCTGAAAATGAAGATGACTTGAAGCATTTACTGATGAAGATCAAAGACTACAGCCTTCAGTATGGATTATACCTCAGCGTAAAACAGAAGTCCTCACAACTGGATCAATAAGCAACATCATGATAAATGGAGAAAGGACTGACATTGTAAGGGAGTTCATTTTACTTGGACTCATAATCAACACCCATGGAAGCAGCAATCAAAAATTAGACATCATATTGCACTGGGCACATCTGCTGCAAGGCACCTCTTCAAAGTGTTAAAGAGCAAAGATGTTACTTTGAAGACTAAGGTCCACCCAACCCAAGCCATGGTATTTTCAGTTGCCTGATACGTGTGTGAGAGCTGGACAATGAATAAAGAAGACTGAAGAAGAGTTGATGTCTTTGAATTGTGGTGTTGGAGAAGAATTTTGAATGTATCATGGACTTCCAGAAGAACAAACAAATCTGTCCTGGACGAAGTGCAGCTAGAATGCTCCTTAGAAGCGAGAATGGCCAGAGTTTGTTTTGCCTACTTTGGCCCTGTTGTCAGAAGGGCCCATTCCCTGGAGAAGGACATCATGCTTGGTAAAATAGAGGGTCAGCGTAAAAAGGGAAGACCCTCAATGAGAAGGGTTTACACAGTAGCTGCAATGATGGGCACAAGCATAGCACCAATTGTGAGGATGGTGCCAGACCAGGCATTGTTTTTTCTGTTGTACACAGGGTCTCTATGAGTCATAGCCAACTTGATAGCACCTAACCACAACAACTACTAACCATGTAGGCAGCTCTGGTACTACAATGGTTAAAGCATTTGGCTGCTAACCAAAAGGTCAGCAATTTGAACCCACCAGTTGCTCTGCAGGAGAAAGATGAAGCAGTCTGCTTCTGTAAAGATTTGCAGCCTTGGAAATCCTATAAAGCAGTTCTCCTCTGTCCTGTGGGTTGCTATGAGTCAGAATTGACTCGATGGCAATGGACTAACCATGTAGACTAACCATGTAGTGGATTAACCATGTAGACTAACCATGAGTTCTGTGAAGTTAAAGTTGTGCCAGCCCTGTTCCAGGCTCCATGAGAGAGAAAAGTGTCTGCATAACTGGGATGTGCCACTCTCATATTGAATGTGATGCTCCTCACAGTGACTTTCACACAACTGGAAGCTGCAGCTCTCAAGTAACTAAAACATTGCATGTCTTCTCTTTCTAAAGAATGGTAACGAGTGTTGACATTTCAAAGATGATGATTCTTTCAGATCTGCTGTTTTCAAGTTTTTTCCTTCCATGCCAACAAGTTAAACATCTTGAGCTTCATCAATAGAGCTGCTTTCAGCTGTTCTCCTTGGCATAGGTGCCACAGATATGATTTCTGGGA